CCCCGCGGGATCTCTCAGCCGGGGGCAGCCCGATGATGAGGCTCTTCTCTCTTTTTTTTTTTTTAAACCCAAGGAAACCGGCTTTTTTTTTAAAATTGTACCTGTTACTTGCGGGGGAGGGGAAGTGAATCGTCCCTTTAATAAGCAGGCGCAGCAGGCGCCGGCCCGGCCCGGCGCTGGCAGGTGTGAGGCCCAGCCGGGGCGAAGCCGGGTTCCCGCCCCAAAACACCCGCCGCCCTTGGCAGCTCCCGCCCGCCTTTCCCACATGCCGGCACCGTAACCTGCTGGCTCCCCGCTTTCGACACCCAGGGCATGGTGACCTTGGCCTGGCGCCTGCCCGGAGCTGGCCTCCATCTCCCCTTTTTTGGGGGGTTCCCCTGGGTTGTGCCCGGTGAGGTCTCTGTGCGCTTTGGGGCTTCCAGAGCCTGCCGTCGGGTCTCCTCCATCTTCTTCCCTTGTTTAAACAGGCTGTTATATTCAAAATAGACCTAAACCCCAGCTTTGTTCTGAAAAAAGTCACTCTGTGCGGCCACTAGTACTGGTTGTTTTCTTTCAGCATTTTACCCTTTTTCTGCAAGATTATGATTTGTTCGTAAATGTCAATATTTACACTGGAATGTTACAGAGAAGAAATCATCCTATGGAGCGTGGAAAACGCAAAGCTGTTCTAGCTTGAGGGTGTCTGGAGGGATGATTTTGCAATTCTGAGTGCCTCATCTCAATGAAAATGAGGTTTTATTCGCTGGTCGCTGCTCCTGGGCGCCGTCCGCCCTGGGAATAGATTCTGCTGGCTTATATGCTTTCCTTTTAGGAGTCATGAGAACCTCTGGGGTATGTTTTCATACTGTAAGACCTCTTGTTTCTCAGGTCTCTGGAATTTGCTTCTTTTCCCACGTCAGTTCACTACTTAAATGACTAGTATACCATTCTTCTATGTCAGGAAGCAGGTTATGGGATGTTCAGTATTGCATGGTATATGTACCATATAATGTCAATGTTTTCCCCTGAGTGTGGTCAATTGTAAGTGTCCCACTTGCTGATAAGCTTTTGTGATTGAGCTGATATTCAGCATGTTTTGAATTAATCCAAAGTTTAAGTTTTGCATAAGATACTTAAACTATTTTCTAATCTCCTGGTCAGTTTTATTTCCCTCACCTTCTCACTGTTTTCATGCTTAGATTAGAAGGTAATTTTTTAATGGTATAGTTGATGGTGTTTTCAGAGCTCTTCAGGCTCTACTATTTATGCGTTAAGGCTTTAGAGAATGGTCTTTGGCCAGTGTTTTGCAAATGGTCAGACAATTATCCTATTCCAGTTTTAGATCTCAGGACAGAGAGTACAATTTAGATTATACTGGACAGCAAATTAAACAAACATTCCCTTTGATTTGCCCTCTTCTGTATCAACAAGCATAATACCAAGGCAAAGATAAGATTAAATCAGTGGTATTCTTCACCACTCATAAATACAGGGTTAAATATTACACTTAGTAGCCTTACTGCAATAATGTTTGGTGCAAGAAGACTAAAATCAAGTTTTCATAGCAGACCTGTAAATGTGGAATTAACCTTTTCCCAGCTTTCTTGTCCTGGAGACTCTCTACAGTTCCTCCCCCTCAAATCTGCCTCTTGCCACTGCAACTGTTGGAGAAAGCTATTTTAACATAAGCTAAAAGAAACATTTTTTCTTATTTCTTCTGCTATTGCATCATTACATTACAGAACCCATGAGCATAGGAAGTTGTGAAAGCCAGAAGCATAGATGTGTTCCAAAGAGATTGCACACATTTGTGGACAACAGGTTCATTCATGACTATTCAACCTAATGCAACTTCTGGCTCAGGAAGTCTGAACATCACTGATATTACCAGAAGTTGAGAGGGTAGCCGGAGGAAGGACCGTGGTGTGCTTGACATGTTGCTGACAGTCTTTCTCTCAGCATCTAGCTCTGTCCCTTAGCAGAAAATGGATGCAGAATGAGAGGGACTCCAAGTCCGATTCATTATCGCCCGTCTGTGCTTGCTTGACAAGACACGCAAGTTTACAAACAATACCGATAGGGAAAGTTATTTTATATATTCAAGTAGGCATTAGGCTTGTTTCAAATCATTAATAGCGGTGTGGGAATCACATGTATCACCTATCTATCTAAGGAATGCTTCGGTAGGAAAATGCCACAGAGGGACTGAGGGGCAGCAACAGAATCTGGAAATGCTCTGCTTCAACATGATTAATCCATGTGCTTCTTCAACCAGTCAATGTATTTGGATACCCGTGTGTAAACCCCATAGCTGCCTTGAACAGCACAGCCCTTTCCCCAGCTGACAATCCCAGTCAGAAACCAGGTGTTCTTGTACTTTGTAGCATGAGGTCCACCACTGTCTCCCTTGCAGGAGTCCTTAACGCCGGTCAGGTCTCCTGCACAGAACATATTCTCTGTAATATTTAAATCGGTCTCCTTTTCACATTCTTGTGTCTTTACACGTGGCAAATCAACTTTCATCAGAACAGAAGAGGTGGCACCTCCATCTAGTAGGCGTCCCCACCCGCTCACTGTGGAGAACTTGATGGAGGAGAGTTCATACACTGCAAACCGTTTTTCAGGCAAACATATCGGCACCACGTAATCCGTGAGATTCACAGGTGTTTCCAGGCTCAGGAGGGCAATATCGTTATCGACTTGTCCATTCGTGTATCCTTCATGAGTGATTATTCTGGCAACTCCACTTTCTTGCTCAGTTTTCTCATCGTGATTTATTGCGTGTTCACCTGGAAAAGTTATTAATTGCAGGCCGTGTCAGGCAGCTCCTTGATTCCTCAGAAGTTTGAGGAGATAGGGGGTTTCTAGTCTGGCACCTCTTAAGGAAAATTCCCTTATACTACCAAAGCCTGCACGCGTTGTCTTTTACTCTGGTTTGTCAGGATGAAAAGCTGCCACCGCGACCGCAGCCTGATAACGTGAGGAGAGGAAGATACATACCCAGTCTCACCCGAAGCTGTTCAGGACGAGTGTACTCCAAACAGTGAGCTGCAGTGACCACCCACGCTGGGGAAAGCAGGGTACCGCCACACTTTTCTTTCTTATTCTGTATTATAAGAGCCTGCCAAGATAAAACAAGTTTATATGTCTTGCATCAAATGTGCACTTGACCTGAATCTCAGTAGTCAGGTTTTGTATTGCTTCTTTCTCTCACTTTATGCAACTGTGTTTGAGAATACAATGCTGATCGATTGTCTGCAGAATTTAGGAGGGAGGAGTCTTTCCATTGACATTTTCTCTATCTTGTAGTATGGACCCTGCCTATTATGGCCAAGACCATATCCCTGCAAGCTGCAGCTAAAGAAGTTCTTGCTGGCAGTAAGGTTAAGAACTAAGGGGTCAGGAGACAGAGGAAGCTGTATTACCACTCCACTCCTATGAAATCAGGCGCTCCAAAACAAGGCTAAGGTGCATGATTGAAACAGGTGGATCTGCTGGCTACGGATGAAGAAGGAATTTGGTTGTCCAGACCCGGCACTTTTTATGGATTTTTAACATAATAGATTTAAAATAATGAATTTAAGATAGTGGTTTTGTAAGGGTAAAAAAAAAAAAAAAGGCAATGAAAGATTTCTGAAGACTCACTTGCCATGGACATTCACCTGGAGGACAGATTAAACCACCTACTATTCTCCCCCGTGCAGTTGCATTTTTTTTTGCCAGCACTGGTATTTTTCCACATGGGTATTTCACTGAAAAAGAAAGAAAGAAAAAAAAAAGCCCCAAAGGGCAGGGAGTGTGATGTTATTGCACTGAATTCACAGCAAAATGTGTAAGGTCTTCAGTGAAGTTAGCTGAAAAACTGGTCTCTGGTCTGGGAGGATGAGTTCTCAAAAGTAATTTAAAGCAGCTCAGCAGTCTTTTTGTTTGGAAACAACCAGAAATGCTTTTACAAATAGAGTACAGGCCCATACAGTGTCAATGACATATATTCACCTACCACGGGAGTTTGCAAACAATATACCTGCTTCAGATACATGTCAACACAATGAGGTAGGCTGCAGGCTGGAGAGCAGAAGTGACTCTGTCAAGCTTTGTAGTCTACATATTTTCAGCGACCCTGCTGACTGTAACTCGGCTGTACTAAGTGCACAGCATCCGGGGCATGGTGAGACACAGGCTTAAGCGTGGGACGTGGAGCTTGCTATCCCTTGTTTGGGTGGGCCCGAAGAGCTCCTAAGGGCAGACGCTATGTCTTCTGGTGTGCCTCCTGGCAGACTGTGCCTAGTTTGCTTGGGGCCAGAGCATCCTTGATTCTTCCAGACTGCACATCTCAGCCTAAGGTCCTTTTTCAGCCTAAGCAAGCATGTGAAGATGGGCAATAAGAGAATCAAATCGTGAGGACTGAACCTGCGGCTGAGCTGCAGTGCAGAGGAAGCCTTGGTGTTTTCAGTACGTCCTTCACCCAGCAGTTTTGCTTTCAAGAAGAAGACGGTCTACCTTTGGGTTTTTTTCTGTGCCATGTGGCTGTGCTGTAACTGAACACACCGTCCCTTACATCCAGCTGTCGCTCTGCAGTAACGCTGTGAGGACGAGTGCTCACCCTCCATCACTTTGGGAGCCAGGGCCCTGTAGTCTACGCTGAGCTGAATCCGACAGCCCCACGGATTTGTAATGGCCTGAACGTGCCGATTACATCACCTGATGCAAAGACAGCATCAGGCTTTTACAGGCACAGGCAAGGTATGGAGGAACAAGGCCGGGTCTTTGGTGGCAGCTGGTGGAAGGTCAGGACAGACGTAACACAAACCCATACCCTCTCACGCTGTATGCAGGGCAACGCAAGTTTGGGCATTGGAAAGGGACATTGTGAGAGGTGCCAGAAGGACGGTGAAGGGACTGGCAGTCTGGCAGTTACACAGTTTTGTCTCTTTGCGACACGCGGTCAGTGCTATGGGTATTTTGGTCCCCAAGAAGCAAGCAGCAACAAATACATCTTCCTTGCAGGGGAAGACACGCTGAAAAGCCTGTGGGGGACATTGAATTTGTTGTCCTCAGCTTGTAACAAAAGCAACTTCCCCATCACGTGATGTCGCGGAATCTGCTAATAAGGGATAAGCACATTACTAGACATTGTTTTCTAATGAAATTGCTGTTGTTGAGAGCTGGGTTGTCATTATCAGTTCTCTGCATGAGTGCTCCATTGAGGTGTGTGTAGGGGGGCATCACCCCTCAGAATTACTTTGCATGCTCCCTGCAGCTCTGTCCATTATTTTCACATCCCCGGGGGTCTCTTTTTCCCCTCTAATAAAGTAATGGAAGTAGGCATCTGCAATAGAGTCAGGTGCCAGCTTATGTATTGGAAAAATAATTAA